ATTAGTCCGGTGTTGGATGAAGTGCAACTATACTAATTTCAGTGAGTGATGGGATGCAACTTAAAGTTTAGCTAGTGAAACGTGACACTTTGTAAAGTTCAGTAACCGTTGAAACAATTAACTCGGCTTTTAGCTATCTCTTTTAATAAGATTGATCTTCTAATTAAATGGCTCAATAACATATCACACACTATTAAGTTTCAACAAATAATTTAATCCAATTAAAATTCAAAACGATCAAACGAATTTCGAGATTGACCTACTCAAACATGTTAAGGAATAAATCTCGCATTGAATAAATATAAAAATAATAAACAATTTATAAGTACTTGAACTACTGTGATTATAACAAAAATATTTTAAGATGGACTGAAAATCTCACTATCTTATTTTTTTGCCCTATTGTTTGTAGAATTATCTTCTTCTGCTAATCACCTCACAGTTTATTATACAAACAATCTTCTAGAAGTCAACAAACAATAGTAGACACACTCATCTAGAAGATAACAAATAATTGAATTGAAAAGAAAGAAAACTTCATTAGAAGACAAATCTTCTTATATTCATATACAGAAGTTTAGAGGTAGACTTGGGCAGTGATCGTAGGTGTGGAGATGGAGATTATCAACTACATAATTGGTGTGTCTTGTGCTTTTGTGTTACTGATATACACATGGAGGGTGCTGAATTGGGTTTGGTTTAAGCCCAAGAAGATGGAAAAAAGTCTGAGACAGCAAGGTCTCAATGGAAACTCGTATCGATTCCTTTACGGTGATCTGAAAGAGTTGATAAGTATGATCCAAAAGGCCAAATCGAAGCCAATCAATATCTCAGATGATATCAAGCCAAGAGTAATACCCTTCTTCATCAAAACACTTCAGGAATACGGTATGGCTTATCTGCACTGTTTTCTTTGCTTATTTAACAGTGCTGTCTCATAGAGTCTAATCCGCCTCACTGAAAGTGCCGTAACTTGCAGGTACTGATTCCTTTATATGGCTTGGGCCAAAACCATCAGTTATAATCACTGACCCGGAACTTGTAAAGGAGGTCCTGACTAAGATTTATATCTACCAGAAGCCACAAAACATGAATCCATTGACCAAGTTGCTTGCACAAGGTGTAGTGAGCTATGAAGAAGATAAATGGGCCAAACACAGAAAAATCATCAACCCTGCTTTCCATCTTGAGAAGTTGAAGGTTTTTTTCTACCTTAGACTGCTTACTTGAAAGTATTCAAATGTCTAAATTACTTAAATTTCAAGATATGGTACTTTCTTGAGAAAAAAAGGATTTAACACCTGAAGAGCACTTAATCCTGACTAGATTGCTTTTCACCCCTGCTTCTTACAGCTTATGATGCCAGCTTTTTATTTGAGTTGTGATGAGATTTTGGGCAAATGGGAACAGAGTCTCTCTCCAGGAGGATCGTGTGACTTGGATGTGTGGCCTTACCTACAAAATCTATCTAGTGATGCAATTTCAAGAACGTCATTCGGTAGTAGCTACCAAGAAGGAAGAAGGATATTCGAATTACAGAGAGAACAGGCTGAACACATCATCAAGGCTTCCCAGTCGATCTATATTCCTGGATTGAGGTAAGAAAATACATTTTTGACTAGTATTGAAGAAATTTCTACCTTACAAATTTAGTACTTCCAATCTTAATTTTTTCATGAAGTCATTAGTAAAAAAAATCAATGTTTTCACCGAAGTGATCCATTTCTTGCCTATAGGTTTGTGCCGACTGAGAGAAACAAAAGAATGAAATTTATTGAGAAGCAAGTTCAAGCATCTTTTAGAGATATTATCGATAGAAGGGTGAAGGCAATGAAGGCCGGGGAAGCAAGTAATGATGACTTATTGGGCATATTGTTGGAATCAAATTTCCAAGAAATCGAACAACATGGTAACAAGAGTTTTGGAATGAACATTGATGAGGTCGTCGAAGAATGCAAGCTGTTCTATTTTGCTGGACAGGAGACCACTTCTGTTTTGCTCGTCTGGACATTGATTCTATTGAGTACACATTCAGAGTGGCAGACTCGTGCTAGAAAAGAAGTCTTGCAAGTATTTGGTAGTAAAAAACCAGATTTTGATGGGTTAAATCACCTCAGAATTGTAAGTATTTTCCATTAATTAAACGTGCAATATGATCGAAACACATCTGATAGACCAATCTTATTAGTACTTCCCCTGCTTACAACTCTTATGACATGTTTTGGAAGGTGGATTAGATAGTATTGGGCAATATTAAATAAGAAAAATAAGTTTAAAACATTTTGTATATTTCTCTCTTGAATGATTTAGTACTACATCAAATATACACTCTTAACAGATTTTCATTGCAGGTTACCATGATTTTATACGAGGTCTTGAGACTATATCCACCGGTTGTTGCTCTTGGTCGAAAAGTTAATAACGAAACGAGATTGGGGAAATTATTGCTCCCAGCTGGGACGCAGCTTACATTACCAACGGTCTTATTACATCATGACCGAGAAATTTGGGGAGAGGATGCAATGGAGTTCAAACCAGAGAGATTTAGTGAAGGAGTGGCTAATGCACAGAAGAAACAAGGATTATATTTCCCATTTGGGTGGGGACCTAGGATATGTATCGGACAAACTTTCGCCATGATAGAGGCAAAAATGGCGATGGCCATGATCCTACAACGTTTCACTTTTGAGCTCTCACCATCCTATACACACGCTCCTAACTCGGTTATAACTCTTCAACCTCAGCACGGGGCTCACCTAACTCTGCACAGGATATAGCTCGATTACGTTGTGTATCAATCTTGTCATGCAGTCATTTGCATAGCCCCCTACTTCTCATGATATCGAAGCTTGTAATGTGAATTTCGATTGCAATATTATAATGCAATTATTTGCATAGCCCCTTGTAATATGAATTTCAATTGCATCAAATAAGACTGATCGTTTTACTTGTAGAATATACAAGTTGGGGTTTGGCCGCTGTGTTATTTTATATTCACATAAGCACAATGCATGTTTGGTATGCATCCTAAACCGCATTGGACAATACAATGAACATGAATTTTTCTTTATCAATACGGTCAAATGCTATCTAATTTACTATCTTTTTGAATCACACGTTTCAAAAAATTATTATTCTTCTTATTATTATAGGGTGTTTGGTAGAAATTAAAATCGGATTAAAATTGAAAAACTAATCGTTACTATTGACTTTTATTAGATGAGTGAGATTCAATAACGACTATGTTTTCAATTTTAATTGGATTTTGAACCGTACCAAACAGGCCCTATAATGTGAAATAAGGGGCCGGTCGTATAATTCTTACCTAAATTAAGTACCAAGATAAAATTATACTCGAGCATATCACACGAAGACAAAAAGAAAAGGAAAAATCAAAGATGTGATCGAGGACGGATACAACACGTTTCAAAGGAAAAAGATATACATACAGGGACAGGGGACAAGCTGGTCCCTTGTGATAGGTTGAGGGGGTGGAAGATAAGATATTCATCTCCCCACCCCAGTGTCACGCGGCAAGAAAAACTATTTCAAAAGCCAAAAAAGAAAGGAGAAACAAAAAAATAAGAGTGATGCTATAAGTACAGAAATTTGAACATACTACACACAATAGGGGTGAGTGGAGGGGAGTTTTGCCAATTTTTTATTCACATGGAGCACATCCCCATGTGAGACAAATTCAAAAATCTGTGAAAAATCCTCTGAAAATTCTTCTGTACTCAAAGAATTATCATGTGAGAGAAATTTAAAATTCTGTGAAAATTTCTGTTAAATATTTTCTGTACTCACAGTTTTATTCAAAAAATATTGTCAAACTTTAGCATTGAAAACTCAATATTATTGACAATGGTACGTGGCAAAAAAATGTTGGTTGAAAAGATAAATTATTTTTTAAACTATCAAATTACAATATGTCGTGTAGCATGTTGTCGACAAAAGATATTGTATACCAAGCATGATTTATTAAAATAATGACAATTCTCGAAAAAGATTGGTTTGACAATTCGATTGCATCACTGAAGAAAAAGTTTGCATTTATAGGCTAGGAGTCATCGATTCCATTCGAGTACAAGTGATAATTGAGATTCAAGTTTCTAACATTTGGTACCTCGTGTTACAGTTGCGTTTTTTTTCTCGCAAATGTACGATATCGTAACAAGCAGTATAACAGATTATTGAGTCCAAACTTCGTTCCCACGAAAACTATACTTTAGGACTTAATCTAATTTTTTTTACTCATATTTGACAAAAGCGAGTAAATAATTATGATGATTCTGATTATTTTTTCTTAACTATTTTTAACAAAATGAAAATATAAAATGATTGAAAACAATGGATAACTGAAAATTCAAATATGTGATGAATATTATGGAGTAACAATTTTATCTATTGATCACTTTTATTCTTAATTCAAGATTCATAATCTAATGTAGCGTTTGATCGAATTATTCTATTGTATTCAATTTACCCCTCTCGAGTTCTCATTAAATCTATTTAACTAATTAAATTTTATATCTCTATGAGAATCAACTTTAGTTAATCGAAAAAGTAGTTCTAAGAATTCATATCATGACCGCAATAATTAGTATAGGTATCCCTACACGTTATACTAATTTACCGAATTTTATTATATGATCTAAATCTAAACTCATATATCAATTCGTAAGAGATTCACATAATTATCAAGTTATTGATCATGTAATTTAAGTCATTAAACTCATAATAAAACCAACACATATAAGAATAAATTACTTAAACCTTGAATATAAAAATAAATGATTACAAGTCAACTACATTGTTTTCTTTAATATAAAAATTAATTATTCATACTAGAAAAATAAAGACGCGCAAAAATGAAAATATATGATAAAAAATTGACAAAACGTGAAATTTCTGGTGTCTATAGTTTCCTTTCTTTTTTCTTCTTTTTCTCTCTTCTTTTCTGTCTCTTTTCTTCCTGCTGTGTATGTATTTTTTTCCTCTCCCAACCACTTTCTTTGACTTTTCCCATTTTCTTCTTCTCTTTCTTTCCTTTCTCTATACGTGTAATCTCCAGCATCAACCCTTTTTTTCTCCTTCAACTGCCTGGCTTCTTCTCCGTTTCACCTCTCCTCGTGCGTGTGTGTATATATATATATAATAGAATAATTCATAAATAAGAGGTTTAACTTTATCAATTTCAAATTTAAGAAATTAAGTTTAAAATTTCAAATTTCAGAGTTTTTTAAATTTTATTTATAAATTAATTAATAAAATATATATTTTATTAATTAAATATATTAAGGTCACAATTTCATATCACAAATTTCATATAATGGGTCACAAAATAATAAATTTTATGTCACAAATTATTTTATGATCATAATTCAAAAATTTTATAGGTCACAATTCGTTTATCGGCCACAAATAAAAAATTGAAACGTCACAAATTAGAAATTTTATAGGTCACAAATTATTTTACGGTTACAGTTCCAAAATTTTATAGGTCACAATTTATTCATCAGTTACAAATCAAAAATTGAAACGTCACAAATTATTTTACGGTCACAAATCAGAAATTTTATAGGTCATAAATTATTTTACGGTCACAATTCCAAAATTTATTGGTCACAATTTATTCATCGGTTACAAATCAAAAATTGAAACGTTGCAAATTATTTTACGATCACAAATCAGAAATTTTATAGATCACAAATTAAAAAATTTATATGTCACAATTTAATTCATTGGTCAAGGATCAAAAAATTATAGATCACAGTTTATCGATATGTCACATATTTCCAAATTTCTTGGTCGCAAATTATCGAAATTTAAGGTCATGGATTAATAATGAGTCACAATGAACCAAAATGTTGGACACATACATCAAACACCCAACCCCCGTCTCGATCCTTCACCAATATTTGGTCACAAATCAACCAAATAATTGGTTACAAATACTATCGCACCTCGCCCTCGCCACAACACCACCCAAACCACCACCGTCGCCCCGTCACAACACCAACACAACCACTGCCACAATAAACAAAAAAAAAAAAAAAAGAAAAACCACAACCATCTCCAACACCACCCGTAACCGCCACACCACCACCACCACCACCAACAATAGAAACGTATCACCAACGCGATCGCCACAACCACCGTCATCACCGCCACAGCCACCGTCACTACCATCACCGCCACAACCCAAGATCAACTAATCGAGAAACCTAGGCACCCCCAAATCTGGCTTAACCGCCATCCTTCACGTCCAAAAATCACCCCCAAAAATCGTCTCAAAACCACGACGACATCGTTTATGCTAGCAATCAAAATAAACCACAAACAAGAAGTTACAGACCATCGTGGTTGATATTAATCATAAACTATGGCGGCACAACACCACTGCAAGCTACTCGCAACGAGGATGCTGCGAGCGACGGCATAGCACCTTTTGCACTGGTTTTGAGTGATAGCCCTCGCGTCGTCGACGAATGACGGGATATCTACGCTTGGTTGCAGTGCGTCTTCGAGGGAGGAAAGGGACGCGTCGGTAGAGATGGGTGAGTGGGTGGGTTTTCCTTGCAAATACCGAGCAAACTCGCTTCGATTCGGGTTCTTTCTGGCCGACGAAATGGATTGAGGGTGGTGCCGGCGGTGTGGTGCTGGTGTGGTGCCGGTGGTGGTGGTGGTGCCGACTGTGTGGTGCCGGCAGTGATAGAGATGGAGAGGAGAGAAAATGGGGGCCACGAGGAAAGAGAGAGAGAGATCGGGGAAGATGAAATAATTAGGATTTTTGGTAAATGAAATAGATATACTAATATCTGATATTTGAAATAAAAAGTATAAAATCTGAAATTTGAAATTGATTCTTGAAAACACTGTTTGTGCGTAATTTCCTCCATATATAATTAATTTGGGTCTCCAATTAAATTTTCAATACAAATCTACTGATACCCATTTAATTTGAACACATTTAATGTAATATTTCTTTCCAATGTTTCATCTTTGAATTTTGCCATTTTTCGCCACTTTTGTATTTTTTTCTCAAACTCTTCATTAAACATAATGTTTTACCTACAAAACACAATATAACATAGATTATGTAGAATTTAATCCAAAAGACAATAAAATATCATCATTTAGGGCCACGAATAAGTGTATAAACTACACTTATTAGTTACAATTAAGGATAGTTGGAAATAAAGATTTGTACCATTTTTAAATTCCATATGTCGGTAAAAATTACTACAGATAATCAGTCATTTAGCAACTTCAATCAAAGTTTGTGTGTTAATATTTGGAGGTCAGCAATCTATATTTTTCCAAATTGAGTTTTTATTTTTCAAGCAAATCCTAAATTCTTTATCTTTTATTCTGTTAATAATGGCTTTATTCTGCAACTTAATATGTTTACACATGAAAACAAAAAGGAAAATTTTCTAATTCTTTGTGGATTCAATTTATGAATACTAGAAGAAAGAAATCAAGCATTTTCTTATTAGTAAAAAAAAAAAAATGTTCATTTGAAACTTAATACTGAGAAATTTACCATATACTTCACAACTTTTAAGGGTTTTGTACTAATGTCTTCTCGGAAGGCCAGTTTTCTATGCAAAGTCTTGCTAAATCCGACTATGTTGTTAAAAATTCAGTCTTTGATTTGGTTCTTGGAATGATTGTCAAGGGTCGTGTGTAGAGTCTTTGTGAGGTAGGACAAGCTATAACACTTTGCATTTTTAAAATTGAAAAATTAAATACATCAAGAAAATGTGTTTTGAGTTATAGTCATAAATGGAAATAAGGTCCAAAATGAAGTAAATTATGGGGAAATCAACAATAAACTTGCAAGAAATGTAGGACTTTTTATTTTTATTTCTTAATGTAGCAATCATTGGAGTAGTATTATATATGTTCAAAAAATACAAGAATTAAAGAATTTCTATAAACGGGTTAATCAAAGGAGGATGTTGCTAGAATCTAGATCGCTTGCATTCTGCAGAGAAGCCTTGAGGAAATCTTGGAACATCAGCACAGTAGTTATAGACCATGTGTTTTTGTTGAACCCAACGGAGCCTATTTCTTCCCTTTGCATCCAGTTCTTGAGTTTGCCATGTTGAGGAATTGGAGGAATCAATTGATTTCGAAGAAAGATCCAGCATTTGATCCAGATGCACAGACATTTCCATTGGCGTTGAAATTCCTGTAAGAGGCGAGGAGCTTTTTTCCAATCAGTCTTGATTCTCCCACCTTGTGTCGCCCAATCATCCGCATTCCATAAGCTGCAGTATACTCCCATTGGTTGATTCGTAGGGAATGGAATGCCGATTGCTTGGTGGTTGGTGAATACTCTAATTGGAATGTTGTCCACCAAGAAGCTGAAATTCATCACAAAGAGAATTAATATTAATATTAACATTTCTATAGTTTGTGGATTAATGAAAATGAGACTAAAGACTTTGCATATTGACTTACATGATGCGTTGAGAATTCCACACAATTGAATAGGTGTGGAAAGCTGCAGTTGGATCAAACCAAAGATGGAATTGTTGTTCCTTGTTTCCTTTTCCTTAGGAATACACATTGGTGTGAACTGTGTATGGCTGTCCAGATGCATTGCTGTTGGGAATATATAGCACGAAGCAGACACAATGTATAGCATTAACAAGTTCAAGCAGTTCATCTAAACCAAAAGGTGACAGAGTTTAACAATTCAATAGCCAATGTGAACCTTAACATGAACTAATCAACAGAGTTCTACAGCTCAACTTATCAGTCAGTTCAATAATATTCTCCAGAAATGTAATCAACACTTTCGAGCTTAAAGAAATCAGGGACTGAGCTCAACATACAATAGTAATCAGCAGGATATACATCAAATATAGAACTGAAAATCAGAACCTAAACAGAACATTAAAAATGGACAGAATAAAGGGCAGAAAGCTACTCCCCTTTCTACCGGTCGAAGCAGCGTTCTTTTGGCTGAATCCTCTAGGCTCAGGAACAGCCTTCCACGCCCGCAAACCGCCGTCCAGAGAGAGGTGAGAACCGGTAAAGAATGCCTCTACACTTGGCTAGGATCATCGATCAAGAGATCTTCCCAAGCAGCCAAGAAACTCGCCCTAATCACTGACCTAAGCCTCAAGAGGAACCTCCCTAACCTAGCTCTATTTCACGCCTAGGTAATACACCGGAGTCTCTTAACCAAAGGGCTAACAGTGAATGTCAAGGGGGAGAAGAGGAACCGGAAAAACAGAGAGAACCAGAGTCGTGCCAAAGAAGGAAGAAGGAATGGGGTTGTCTATCCAAGAAGCCAGAGATCACGTGATATAGATTCAAATGAGGAAAGAATATCTCACCCACTTCAATCTCCACCGTTGGTTGAATCGAGGGTCACAATTGTTACAAGAAAACAATCAACCCGGTTATAGCATAGGCCCAATAACATTGTTAAAGAGAACCACCAAAATAAGCCCACAAACTTCACCTTGGTTCTCGTAACACACTCACTCTCTCGGTTGCGAATTTGCACATGGAAGGACTGTTCATCATCATCGCCCACTACCTGCAAGAAAAATTAACCAGTATCAATATGCAGCAAAGATAAGCATAATTTAAATTTTCCTACAGGTAGAATTTTAGTTCCCACATCAGAGGGATTCCTATCAGTATGAATCTTAACAAGTTCGACTTCACCTTGAGAAAGCTTCTCACGTATAAAATGATACTTCACCTCTATATGTTTGGATCTCTCATGATAAACAGGGTTCTTACTAAGTGACAACGCACTCTGACTATCCGTAAACATAATAGGTGTATCATGCATGAAGTTCAATTC